GAAAACCCGTCCAAAAAAAAAAAAAAAAAAAAAAAAAAAAAAAAAAAAAAAAGAGGAGGTAAGATGGCTTAGTAGGTGAGAGTAGTTGCTGCCAAGCCTGATGATCTATGTTAGACCTTTAGGACCTACATGCTAAGAATAGAGAACTGACTCCAAGTTGTCCTCTGACCTTGGCATGAGGTGTGCATACACAATCCCAATCAATCCCGCCCCCGCCTCTAGAAATAAATATAAAAGAAAAGATTTTAAATATACAATTAATTGGAAATATGGAGAAATAGAACCTTCAAACACTAATAGAAGGAGAGTGAAATGGCATAGCTGTGTAAAATAGGTAGTGCATAAGAAGTTAGAGAATTATCATATGACTCAATTCCTTCTTTTCCATGTATATATCTGTTCTAAATAAAAAACTGACCAAAACTAATGGGCAGGGGTTTATGTTAGTTTACAGTATAGTCTATCATCAGGAAGGATAGGGCAGGAGCTCAAGGCAGGAATCTGGAGATAGGAACTATAGCAGAGGCTGTGGAGAAATGCTTACTGACTTGCTTAGCTACTTTTATCATACAGCCAGGCTCATCTATCCTGGAATGGTACCATCCACAGTGGGCTGGGCCCTCTTATATTAACTAGCAATCAAGAAAATGCCTTGTAGATCATTGGGGGGGGGAGCCGTGAAAACATAATGCTAACTTAAAAGTCACAATAAGTCACATATTTTATGATTCTGTTTATGGGAAATGTTCAGAAAGACAATCCAAGAAAACAGAAAGTAGATTATGGTTTCCAGAGGATACAAGGAAGATAGAAGGGCAGTAAACTGCTTAAAAGGTATGAAGTTTTCTTTTGGGGTGATGGGTCAAAGAGTAGGGCTTTCTAATTGGGCTTCCGTGAAGACTCAAAATTGATTTATATAAAATTATAGGTTTTTTAAATTTGTAAGCAAAGTGGCATACCATTAGTATAATTTCCAAATTAAAGAAGCCTTTAGTGAGAAAAATCAAAGATTTTTGAGTATTAAAATTTTAATAACTACATGATTAGAAGAAGCATTTCATTACAGCTTTAACATATTCAGTAACACACTCCAGAGCAAGAGTACATCTCTTTCACAAGTGGCTGTAAGTTTCTAGGTTCACAGTTGAATTAATACAGTTAAAATAATATATCCAAAATAGTGTATTTCACTTAATAAAGTACCACTTTTTACTTACAATGTTCCACTGTCAAAAATGAGCTGATAATTTTAGAATCTGATAATACTCCTTAAGGAATCATACTGCAATTAGTCCAGTTTGGCTGTCCTGGTTCATTTTTCAGTTTAAAAACATTTTATCTTCTTTGTCCTACAAAATTATGCTTGAACTCATTGATGCTACAAACAAAACTAAAGATACATGTTTCAAGTGGCAAGTCTTAAAGTGGTAAGTACTGGTAAGTAGTAACAGAATTTGACTGCATATTGGTTTCTCTTAGATAACCTTAGATAACTAGCAATCTCCAACACTCAGTTTAAAACAAATTTATTTTCACAAATCTGCAAAATGACTGTGGATCAACTAGTCTGGTTGGGCTCAGTAGGACCAGGCTAGTTGCCAGATTTATGGTCAAGTTCAGAACCACACCAGATTTATGGTCAGGTTCAGAACCACACCAATATGTCATTAACAGTGGGGCTAGCCACTGAAAGGGCAAGTGAATATATGAGCAAGCTATAGAAATAAACAGATGCTTTTCCATTAGGAAACTGCAGCTTGACTACACATGGAGCCTGGAAAAGACTAGCATAGTCAGAGCATCCAGGACCCCCTCAGTGCTCACACTTTGCTTACCCTCCCCTCCCCTTTGTGGGGGAAGGAGGAGATTGCTTTGGTTTGACTGCTGGTTTGACTGCTTTCTACAATCTCAGAGCCCCAGAAACACTACTACTAAGGCATTTCCCACACCCATGTATCGTATTGGCAGAAGGTACAGGGGGGCATCCAAGCAGTTGGCTGAGGGTGGCTCCCACACTGGCAATATTGCTGGGCCTGCATATTACAGAACACTGGCAGGCATTCAGTCTAGCAGAGGTCATAGCAACTAGCAAGCCCCAGCCAGAAATTCAGGGTGAGGCTCAATCTGCAAATTGCCATTTCTGGTCTAACTTGTTCAGAAAACAGAAAGAAAACAACTCACTAGCCCCCATTCCAACCCCTCCAAGTAAACTGAAAAAAGAAAATTCTGGGAAAAAGCAAGTGTCTCCGTTATCCAACTCCTCAGAAATAGTGGTCTATTTTATGTTTTCTATTTGGATTGCTTTGCTCTGTATTTGCTGTACTAGCATTTTGCTCCCCCTCACTATTACCTCTCATACTCCCATCCCTATACTTCTCTTCTCTTTCTTGTTTTGCCATTTCTCTCTCTTTTCCTTTCCCTACCCTGTTTTTTTAATATGTTTTAATTTTTTAAACTGAATTTTTGCCATTTTCATATAACATAGTTTGATAGTATTTAGATATCCTCCGCTATGCACAGCTCTGCCCACTGTCCCTCCCCCAACTTAATGTACTCTCATATATAATATGGCCTAAAGAATCTAATTTGTATCCCCAAATGTCCTTCAGTGTAGGTTCATCTACTGGGCCCACCAAGGGTCCCATCCTTGTAAGACACTATCTTTCCCTTTCCCAGCAGACATCAATTGCCAAAATAGGTTAGCTTGGGATTTTGTTTGGTTTGAGCTTGCATAGGACTTGTACATGCTGCCACCATTGCATATGAGTAACTGGAAGACTCTGTTTCCTTGTAGTCATCCACTCCCTCTGGCTCTTACAATCTTTTCACCTCCTCTTCTGCAATGACCCCTGAGCCTTGGGAGGCAGAGGTTTGAAATAGGTGTCCTAGTCATGGATAAGCACTCTGCAGCCTCTTGTTCTCTGTACATTGGCCAACTGTGGGTTTCTGTGTTAATTACCATCTGCTGTGTGAGGAAACCTCTCTGGTGAGAGTTGAGAGATGCATTCATCCTATGTGTACAGGTTACATTGAAGATGTGTCACTTAGGGTTAAGCATCTCACAGACACTTATTCTCTGCATTTGACCAGTTCTGGAACTTAGTAAGTCTCCATCTGTTGCAAAAAGAAGCTTCTCTGATGAAGGGTAAAAGGTATACTTCTCTGTATATATGAGGATGCATATTTAGAATAAAATAAGAAATTATGTTTTTGAGGCTGGAGAGATGGCTCAGTGGTTCAGAGCACTGGCTGCACTCGCAAAGGATCTAGGTTCGATTCTCAACACCCACATGGTGGCTAACAACCATCCATGATTCTAGTTCCAGGGCATTTGATGCCCTCTCTTGGCTTTCTAGGGCATTGCATGATACAGATGCACTCCCACAGATGCAGGCAATGCACTCAAACACATAAAACAAAAACAATAAATAAAATAGATTCTAAATTACATTTTAAAAATATATTTTAATTTTATGAGTGTTTAGCTTTC